CCCCCGGGACCGGTCCGGACTGTCCGGTGTCCGGTGATGTCCGGATCACCGGACAGTCCGGACCGGTCCAGACACTGGTCCGGGAGACAGTCCGGAAGTGTCCGGTGTCCGGGTCGGCGGTTACCATGCATTTTCGGAGCCGTTTTTTGTTTTTGTTTTGTTTTGTTTTTTCTTTTTTTCGCGGCCGTTTTTTTGGGACTACCGGTCGCCGGTCGGTGGGTACCGCGCCCGACGCGGCGCGTTAACGGCCGTGTCGGCTTTTCCAAGCAGGTCGAGGTACTGGTGGTTTAAGCAGGTTTCTTTGGTTTCCGCATTATGTGCACCAGTGCACGTGTGTTGTCATGTTGTGTCTATAAGCTAGGAAGATTGTCATACCCGGCCGCCCCAGCTGAGCACCCGGGCGTGACGCCCAGGAGGGGGGTTCTGACGCCTGGGGTATCCAGGTGTGGAAAAAAAAAAAAAAAAAATGGTCGTGGGGGTTCTCTGCGCTCTCCGAGAGGAGCCCAAATCCAGGCTCTTTCCTTATTTTGAGTGTTGGCTGTCAAGGGGGAGGAAGGGGGGTATAAACTGGTTTTAAAGGCATTTGGAGGGGGGACCTTAGTGTAATTCTGTTATTTTCTTTTTCATCTTCGATTTTGCGAGGAATCTGCCCTCGCAGAGGCCTTGAGGCCGCCGCATCTACCAGCCCGAAGGGGCCCCAGCAAGTAATATGCCCGCCCTAAGTGAAGGCGGGCCTGAATTCCAACATGGGGCCCTACTTTTGTCATTTCTGCATGAGGGGCGCCAGACAGTTTCCACACGCCAGTTGGTTACACATGCCCTGCTCGCCAGTATCGGAATCTTCTGTGAGCCTTCCAGCCTCTTCTGGGTTTGACAAGGAGGCTGGCCTCTCGGCCAATGAGAAGCAGGCAGCTGTGTGGCTGGAGGCCCGACGGCCAATGAGAGCGCAGCGAGTGACAGCAGCCACATCGCACTGTTGGGCAGCTTAACTGCCGCGGGCCCAGGCCACTGTCTGAATGGGATCAGGCGCAGACACTTTGGCCCAACATGAAGCTACTGGGCACACGCCCACCAGGCCCAGGCCAGCCAGAGGCTGGGCTCACTTTCCATAAAGGAAAGTGTGCGCCCAGCCATGGACACATTCTAGGTGGACGCAGTGAGCGGCACGCTGCTGCTTTGGGCGCTTGCAGCCATCACAGTGCACGCGGCTGCTGTGTGGTGAGTGGGGCACTCCGGTGGCAGTGGGCCCACAGTGACCATAGCCGGGCTGCTTGTGCGGTGGCTGGTGTGGGCAATGGTGGTCTTCGGGAGGAGGAGCACACTATGGGAGAGAGAGGGGTGAGGAGAGAGGAGAAGAGACACGTAGCTGGTGTATGCTGGCAGTCTGCATTGACGATGTCGTCACGTACAATATTCTTCTTGAAGTGACTCCAGTTGCATATATATAGTGTAGGCTAGTATAGCTGCTGAGAAGGATAGGCTGGGCGCTGAGCGCCAAACAAGAAGAGCGACATTGGATACCTTGTTGGTGTGGCGAGGGAGTGTCGACATTGACATTTGAGTTCATTGTATTGCTCTTATTTGGCTTGTATCTCGGTGCATTGTGCTTTCTGCTTGGTACACGACTATCTGGTCTTCAGCGTGATATTACATTCTGGTTTTCTGTCTATCGCTGTCGCTCATTTCCTTGCAATTTTGTGAGGAATTCTGATAGGACACTCCGCCCAAAGTCGTTTGCATTGCAATTCTACACAACCTTCTTTTTTCAGTAATTTTTGACTTTTTTTTGTGTGCGCTGGAGCTGCGCGGGACCTGCCTGGGGGTCATGCCTGGTCAAGCACCCAGGCGTGTATCCGGGCACAAGTTGGGTGCCCGGGTGCTGGGAAAACAGCCTAGACTAAAAAAGGAAAAAATATCTGCTGGACCATCTCCTGAGTAGACTCTTTAGAATCTTAACCAGAAGCAGTGAATTACAGGAAAAAAGAGGGAAAAGAGTCGAAGACAAAGAAAAAGGAGGGCAAAAGGGCACAATGTTTCAAGCTGGAGGGCTCCCCATGTTTTTGCAGTTGAGTGCAAGCTGCGTGCACAACTGTCTAACTGGATGGCTGAGCCTGCTATGAGAGATCAGACAAAGGGCAGGGAAAAGAGAAGATGAAATTCCTGGAAACGTTACCTTATAAACCTCACTGAAGCCACCCTTCCCAAGCAGGTTTAAGAGCGCATATCGCTTATTCAGAATTCCAAAGTGGTTGAAACGTGAAGCATCCTCATCCCGCACTCTTTTCATCTCCCTTATATGGCGTGCCTTCTCGACCTCGCACCGCTCCCTGTCCCTAGTAATTGCTTCCTCTTCCTGCAAACACAACCCCAGTTCCTCACTGTAAAACCAGCTTAATCAATCACGGCAAACTGTTACAGTCACAAAAGTTTGCAGATAATACAAGCCTCAAGCATATTGAAAACCTGCTTCTGATTCCTTGACAAGAGGGTGAAATGATGACAAGAGGTGGGTCTGCCATGTTTGTGCAAAAGTCATGAGACATTCTTCCACACACTTCAAAATGAGTACTAGCTCCCTCAATCCTTCAGCCTCAGACAGGGGTCGACACTAGCAGACGTCAGAGAATACATATCATTCATGTTCCCATCATCATCATGAGAACAGACACCACATCCCTATACTCTTAAACACTGGAGTGATGCCCCCCCACGGGCCCACGAGAAATCAGTGGTGAGGGAACGCGAACCCCGCTCCGAGTTCCGCAATGCGGCCCCAAAGCCTTCCTTTCTGGCGCATTCTGGAGCGGGGCGCGTTTCGGAAAAGGCCGCGGAAGAGGGCCAGGCCCGAAGCGTTCATTTCAGGCACGTCTTGGAATGGGGCGCATTTCCGAGGGGCGGGCAAGGTCAAGCTCGTTTGTTTCCTTTCGGGCGCGCCCGCCCCCTGTGGCAGAGGCGAGGGTGATCGAGCAGCATGTTTCTGATGGAGGATGCCGGCAACGCTGGCGCATTCTGGAGCGGGGCGCTCTTCGGAAAAGGCCGCGGAAGAGGGCCAGGCCCGAAGCGTTCATTTCAGGCACGTCTTGGAATGGGGCGCATTTCCGAGGGGCGGGCAAGGTCAAGCTCGTTTGTTTCCTTTCGGGCGCGCCCGCCCCCTGTGGCAGAGGCGAGGGTGATCGAGCAGCATGTTTCTGATGGAGGATGCCGGCAACGATGGATTCAGGAGGGAGGATGGAGGGAGGAGTAGGAGGGGGGATGGAGAGGAGGGAGGGGGATGGGGGGTGGACAAAGGGGGAGGAGGACGAGGAAGGACACCAACAACGATGGAGGAGGAGGGAGGATGGGGGGAGGAAGAGGAGGGAGGACGGCGATGGATATAGAAGGCCGGAGGAGGTGGGAGGAGGAGGTCAGAGGTTGGTGGTGACCGTGCTTGCTGACCACGACTGCATGCTACACATGTGCGGCGTTGTTTGTGCGATTGCGGGGGTGTGGATATATGGGCAGGCGAAGGACTTGAACGAATGGAGGTGGTCGAATGGAGCGAATGAAGGTGTAACATCAGTCATTGACCCGAGCCAGCACGATCGCAAAAGGAGATTGGTGCATGGGTGTTGCAAAGGGAGGTTGTGATCTTGGTCATTTCATGGGCATCGTCGAGTGATTGATCTCTGCTGATATCTTGCACGCCATGGCAAGATACGACCTCTATCTCTGTGTCTATGTTGGGCATGTCTGTCTTCATGCATTTTGTTTTTGTAAGACGAAGTGCTCGCTGCTTTTTTTTTGGAGGGGAGAGGGTGGGGGGGGGGGGKGTCGTGCATGAATGACCTTTGTATTCAATACATCAATCGACCTATCAATCGACCCGCCAATCAGCCAATCATCTACGAATCTTACCGAATTTATCCACCTATCAATCCGTCGATCAATCAATCAATCAATCAGGCCACACAATTGTCCTGCGATAACATGCATGTTCCACTTCTCGCATCCCACCTTGATTTCTGCATGCTGAATTGATTGTACATGCATCACCTTTGTTCTTACCCTACATAAACGAGCGCTATCTCCAGGCAGCGCTGGGTGAGGAGGGGGGGAAGCAAATGGAGAGCACAAGGGGGCAGATGAAGAACGGGATGTCGAGGAGGAAGAGGTGCAGACAGGATGTCAAGGAGGAGGAGGCGGCGAAGAGAGGGACATCGAGGAGGAGGTGAACAGAGGAATCCCGAGCAGGAGGATGCAATGATGAGGAGGTGAGGACAAGGGAAGAGCGAGAGCAGGATAAGGAGGACGAGAACGAGGAAGGAACGATACAAGGAGGAGGAGCACAAAGGGTCGAAGGAACTGCGGCGTGAGAGTGCCGGTTGTGATGTGGCATCGTTGATTCGTTGGTTGATCCATCCACTGCCAGCAAAAAAAAGGGACTGTGGATCTCTCTCTCTCTCTCTGTGAGAGAAGCGGTTGCCGGCACCATAATCATTGATTTGTTCTCTCTCTCTCTCTCTCTCTCTCTCTCTCTCTCTCTCTCTCTCTCTCTCTCTCTCTCTCTCTC